ACTTTATCTTTGATATATTAATATTAAACATGAAACGTGAAACACAAGTAACAACAAGAGACATTTAGATTAGATTTAACCACACATGTAGATTTGCCCACGTTATAAGGCCACAAAAACTCATATTTTATCAATTTATGAAATGTCCCATGAGCCTTTGCTGCTTGAGCGTATGGCAGACTTCACTAAAAACCAAAGTGGGYCATTGCACWGGCTGAAAGATTAATCATTAAAAATAAAGTACTTTATTTAAAAAGTATTTGTATTTCATGTATTCTGTTACTACATTTGGCCCACAGCCCCAGAGAGATGATCATTTTGGCTCACTTGGGGGAAAAGTTTGGGCACTCCTGTTTTAGAGAAAGTTGAAATTATTTTCATTGAATTTATTTTTTACTAAAACAGGACACAAATCTGTTGAAACACATTAAATCTGTTAAGAACTCCTGCGCACCTGGAAGGATCAAATGACTTCAAATAAGAAAGGTACAAGTCCAACCCGGCAGAGAAACTGTATTTTAATTACTACATAGATTGGCCCATTCCTGCTAAAAAATAAAAATAATAATAATAATAGTAAAATGCAAACAGACTCAGTTTTAGTGTAAATAACTGTAAAAATCTTAAATTTCATCACTTCATTATGTTTAAATGACTTCAAAAGATAATGAGTCGTAGACGTCTGTCTAATTATAACCTGTCTAATCTAGTTCATGAGATGGATTTCTTTGGTTGAGGGAAATTGAAATAATATTTTAAACAGTTTTGAAATATTAACAGAAGAAGATGAGGTCACCTGAGGAGGAAATGGAGACACTTTCAGAACTTGATGCTGGACCCAGAGAGTTTGAGTCTTCAGGTGGGAATGTTGTGTGCTCGTCCAGGTGACTGTCGTCATGATCAAACATTGAACCATTTTTATTGATCATTGCTTCACCATCATCATCATCATGATAAGCTGCTTCCACTGAAATGACAGCAACACCTACGTACATAAAAACAGGACAATTAAAGTTTGTTCAGAAAGTAAAAACCAGCTGCATGAACGTTTGCTGGCGACTCTGTTGTTTCTGAGTAAGAAGTTGAAATACGAATTTTATGATTTTTTTTCTGTTTTTGTCACCAGTTCACACTTAATTTTTTTATTGTGGTTTTCACACTCGTCTCCACTTACAGGAAAAACAATGTGATTATCTGAGCTGTTAGTGCATCAGTGTGAAACACTAACAGATCAGATTTTATCTTTTCATTTACAGAACGTCAACAGATCTTTTGTTTGAACTCAATTTTTTTTCTTAAATTACTAAATGTATAAAACTATAAATGGACAATTTGAGAATTTTTCCTTGTGAACAAAGTAAATCATCTCTGCTTTTTGCGGATGATGTGGTCCTATTGTCTTCATCAGATCATGATCTCCAGCTCTCACTGGGCGGTTCACAGCCGAGTGCGAAGCGGCCGGGATGAGGATCAGTGCCTCCAAATCTGAGACCATGGTCTTGAGCCGGAAACCGGTAAGGTGCCTTCTCCAGGTCGGGGAGGATGTCCTGCCCCAAGTGGAGGAGTTTAAGTATTTTGGGGTCTTGTTCATGAATGAGGGAAGAATGGAGCGGGAGATCGACAGGTGGATTGGTGCTGCGTCTGCAGTGATGTGAGCGTAGTACCGGTCTGCCGTGGTGAAGCGGGAGCTGAGCCAGAAGGCAAAGCCCTTGGTTTACCAGTCGGTCTACGTTCCTACCCTCATGTATGGTCAGGAGCTTTGGGTCATGACCGAAAGAACGAGATGATGGATACAAGTGGCTGAAATGAGTTTCCTCTGCAGGGTGTCTGGACTCTCCCTTAGAGATAGGCTGAGAAGCTCAGTCATCCAGGAGGGACTCAGAGTAGAGCCGCTGCTCCTCCACGTCGAGAGGAGCCAGTTGAGGTGGYTCATCTGGTHAGGAYGYCTCCTGGACKYCTCCCTGGTGAGGTGYTBYRGRCACGTCCCACTGGGAGGAGRCCCAGAGGAAGACCCAGGACACGCTGGAGGGACTATGTTTCTCAGCTGGCCTGGGAACGCCTTGGGATTCCCCCAGAGGAGCTGGTCCACGTGACCGGGGAGAGGGAAGTCTGGGTCTCTCTGCTTAGACTGCTGCCCCCGAGACCTGATCCCGGATAAGCGGAAGAAAACAGACTGACGGCGAACAAAGTACGAGTTTTAATATGTGATACTAACAAATCATAATTTTGTTAGTGAGAAAATAATACTTATTGAGCCCAAAACCTCTGTTGAAATTCTGTTTTTCCATTTTCTACCTTTAATCCTGCTGTTCAGTGGGGTGGGGGAACAGGTGGGGTTCTTAAAGAAATTACGTTCATTGGGCCTCATACAAGAACATGTTCGTATTCTTCTCCTAAACTTCTCTTACTTTTGTTCGTACAAAGGGTTCGTACGAACATGTCACGTCAGATTCAACAAACTCTTCTATCTTCAGGAAAAGTGTGTAAATGAGCTGCGTAAATTCCACCTGTTCTAACCCAGCTGCTCGTGCACGAAGAGAGGAGATTAGCATAATTACCACCCCAAAAACACCATATAAGGCTGTTTCCTGCCTCAGATACAAGGAAGTGTCCATTCATGAAAAATGACAGCGAAAACTAAAAAGAAAAACTTTACGAGTTCAGAGATTGAAGTCCGTCTGTCAGAGATCCAGAAAAGAAAATCTGTCATTTTTAGCAGGTCAGCTGTGGAATAAAAAGAGCTGCTAAAAGTATAAACAACTGTGTTAAATCATTTTCATTTATTCAGAAGACACGGCGCTGTGCACCGTACCCCTCCGCCCTCCCCGCGCGCTGTCTCAAGTGGTCTCAGTTGCGGTTCTGAAATAATCATTTTCAAATGATTTCAAAATAAGTCTGGCACTTTGGAGAAAACCCAGGACTCACTGGAGGGATTATGTATCCCCTCTGGCCTGGGAACGTCTTGGAGTCCCCCAGGATGAGCTGGAAGGTGTTGCTGGGGAGAGCGGGGTCTCTCTGCTGCTGCCCCCCGCAACCCGATCCCGGATAAGCCGGCCGGACGGACAATTTATATTGTTAGTCTAAATTATTACATTTAAAATTATAACTCTAATTMAAGCAGAATAGCCTATTGTCAACATAATTATGGAGTGTGATTTATTTTCAACTCAAAATATCTTCAAACTAACGAAATATAAAGTTATTAGTGAAGAAAACCCGTCTGGATAACAGCAGACTGACTGCTGGTAAAATATACGACAGGTCTGGACCACTCGTAAATTTTGTTCGTATCTGAAAAAAATCTTAGAATACGAAAACATTGGTGAATGCCACAAATTCTCCTAAATCACTCGTACGCACAACTTAAGAACAAATCTGTGCGTACGAATGGTTCTTGCATGAGGCTCAATGTTTATATATTTTATTGTTTCATTTATATTTAATTAAGCTTCAGAATAGAGCTTCTTTCATGAAACAAAATAAATTGTGATTGTGAGTGAAGTATGTTTTTATTAATGTGGGTTGAAATTGTTTTCATTAAACTTGTTTTTACTGATGCAGGAAACAAATCTGCTGTTTGAACAGAATTCCTGCCCAGAAAATAAAACATGTTCAAAAATAAAGCGTCAGGCCAAAGTAGTTACCTGTTCCTGCCAACAAACCACAACCTGACTCAGGTTTTAGTGTAAATAACCATAAACATGTTTGTAAAAATCTTTGTGAAGCAAAAGAGTCAACAATGTAAATATTTATAAAAACGTGACATCTTTGAGACTGTAGTTTGAAGACGACAGGAATCTGATTTTCTTTATTCTGCCCAGATTAACCAAACACGCTCCAAACTGTTTCTGCTGCAGATAAGATATTAGTTACTGAGAATACCTCCATAGAACTCCACTTTAAATGATCTGAACCAAGGAAAAAAACAGAAACATGTTCCCCTCTGTCTCTGTTTAGTGGGAATGTTTTACTGGTTTCTATCTTACAGAGAATAAAGAGTAAACACTGATAAACAGTTTATTCACTCACCAACAGCCCAGAGCAGCAGGTTCCTTCCTCCCATCATCACCATCATCTTCATCACCTCCCCCTCTTCCTGCGTCTGTCTGAATGTGAGCAGTGAGTCTGAGCAGCAGCAAATGAACCTGAACACAGGAACTAGCTAACCACAGTGTAATTACATATAGTTTCATTTCTACATGGAAGTTTTTCTTTTCACATCTCTTAACTTTGATTAAAATATTTAAAAAACAATTCACGACAAAACCGAGCTGCTGTCAGCTGAGAGTTACTGTGAACTTTTATTCAGCCACATCTGAGCACATTTACAGGAAAATCCTGACTTTAATGTGTCGTAAAAAAAACTGTGGTGTGAAGATGGGGCGCTGGGGGTGCTGTGGTACCTCCTTTGGATGCTAGATGGCATGCATGTCCAAATATATACTTATTCACTTACTTACTTAAATATGTGCTCTATGTTTAAAGACAAATAACATTTTAGATGTTTTTTTAAGTTTTGTAGCTAGCATTTTATCACTTTTAGCGTTTAGCTAACCTTTTGATACGATTAACAAGCCTCGGCTCGGCACAAACATGCACTCTAAAAATGAAATGTTGGATTTATCTAACCATGTTATGTTACCTGGTTCCACTTAACTGAGTTGAGTAAATTCAAAGCAACATACTCATGTTCTTTGGCTAAAAAGCTGGTATATTGCTTTGAATTTACTCAACTCAGTTAATTGGAACCAGGTAACATAACATGGTTAGATAAATCTAACAATTCATTTTTTACAGTGTACTTCCTACTGAGACCTTTTTTTGTGAAATTTACGTGTCAAACAACCACAGAATAAATCTGGGCCAGAATTTTCGCCCAACATCTAGACTTTTTTCTTATATTTTGCATAAAAACAACAGCCTGAAACCTCCTTTTAGCTGAAAACCACTTTGCTGCTTGATTTCATTTGGTTCAAACAAACTTAAAGTTTTTTTGCTCATAAATATTTATTCACACTTTATTTACAGATGTACAGATTATTACATCATTGTTCGTGTTGACACTTTAAAATCTTTTGTTCTGATTTAATTTAAAGTCACTTCAGTGGGTTTAAGGTTAGTTTAGACTCAGAGTCAGAGGCGTCTGCATCTGCAGGAAGACCGGTCGGAATCAAATATGAAAAAATAAAAACACGTTTACAACAAATCAGTGCAAAGATTTAGGAAAATCTAAAAACTTGTTTGCACACAGCCCACAGATCGATAAAAAACTTTACATACTTCAAGATATTTTATAAATAAAATCACCTGGGAAAAGTTTCAAGTGTTGTCAGGAATAAAGATGAAACGTTTTCATGTAATAAATTCTTCACATGTGACAGAAATACTTTGTTCTGTTTTATGGTTCTGGTCCAGAGTCCGGTGCGATGCTGTGCTCCTGAGCCAGGGCGGCCAGCTCCTTCAGGAACTCTGCAAACAGAACGATGGCGAACACACGGCTCTCGGCCTGAGGGGGGATCGGGGGGCAGGGGGGCGAGACGCTGAGAGGAGGCAGAGGCAGGGCGTGTTTCACGAAGCCGTTGGGTACGGACGGGTCCAGGATGATGTCCCCGCCGTGAGACTGCAGGGACTCTGAGGGACACGAGAGGACAAAAATAAATGTTGATGATTGTTCCAATTATTTTTTACAAACAAACAATATGACAGCTGGAGATGTTAGCAAAAACCTAGCTAGTAGCTAAAAGGAAAACAATGCTAGGTAAAAGCCGAATGTAGAAAAGGGATAGCTAAAAGCAGCAAAACCTAGTAGCAAAAGTAGCAAAACTTTAGCTAAAGGCAGAAAAATGATAGTTAAAAACAGCAAAAACCTAGCTAGTAGCAATAGTAGCAAAGCACTAGCTAAAGGTAGCAAAAAGAGGACTAAAAGCAGCAAAAATCTAACTAGCAGCAAAAGTAGCAAAACACTAGCTAAAAGTAGCAAAAGGATAGCTAAAGGCAGAAAAAATGTAGCAAGCAGCAAAAGTAGCTAACCACTAGCTAAAGATAGAAAATGATAGCTAAAAACAGCAAAAACCTAGTAGCAAAAGTAGCAAAATATTAGCTAAAGGCAGAAGAATGATGGCTAAAAACAGCAAAAATCTAGCTACTGTAGTAGCAATAGTAGCAAAATACTAGCTAAAAGTAGCAAAAGAAAGGCTAAAAGCAGTAAAAAACCTAGCTAGCAGCAAAAGTAGCTAAACACTAGCTGAAAGTAGCAAAATATTTGTTAAATGTTGCAAATTCTAACTAAAATATAAGAGTGACAAAATTTCAGTAAAAGAATAAAGTATCAAGTATACCAAAGTATGCAGACATAGTTTAATTTTAAAAAGCTTAGAAAATTAAAAACAGCCGAATGAACGCTAACTTATGATTCACACAAAGAAAGAAAGTGTTTGATTTGAAACATGAGCAGCAGCTTTTATTATCAAGAATCTGTGGTTTTTAACTCTCTTTATGGGTTTATTAATATGTGACAATATTTAACCTCTGAATTTTCCATCTTGGTCTTTAGCCAACAAGAACCTCCAGGCCCGAGTGATCAGGGACGGGTAGTCTGGTCTGTCGGCCACGTAGCGCTCGATCTGAGCGTGCACCGAGACCAGAACCTGCAGACACAGTCCACACATCAGGACCACGAAGAAGCCTGAAGCCGAACAAGGCTGGAGTCAAACGACCCAGGTGAGTTACCTGGTGTAATGTTGGTACGCTCGGCTGGGTGCTTGTGTCTGTGCCGAGCAGGAAGGATCTCAGCAGAGGTTGAGGGTACGACACCAGCTGAGCGAGGATGCCCGTCACCAGCAAGTTAACAGCGATGGAGTTCTCCAGAAGGTTCTCCAGTCGAGATAACAGGACGCTGATGAAGGGACCTGATGCACCATGAGAGAATGTAGGAGGATTCTGGTATTTTTGTTACAATTATTTATTACCCAGGTTTTTTTTTTACTTTACTTCCTTCCTCACCTGTAAAAGGAACTTCCTCTCTCTTGCTCTCTCTCTCAGAGCTGTTCTTCTCATCTTCCTCTTCCTCTCCTTCCTCCTCCGTGTCGTCCCATGAGGAGCCATAACCAAAATCAGCCATAAGCTCCTCCTCCTTTTTCAGTTTTTGCCTCAGCGCTCGGACACGCCCCCTGAATGTGCTGACGTCATCTGTGATGTCATCACAGTCAGGCTCCACCCCCAACGAGAGCATGAGTTCGCAGTATTGTGACACAAAGTTGTTGTTTGTGATATTATCAGGCAGAACTTTGAGCTGGGCATCTGTTGCGGGTGCACAAATTCCCCGTGATTCAGGTTCCACATGTCCATTTGGTAAAGAGTTTATCTCTAAACATGGAATGTGAGGCATGTTGGGATGTATCTGTTTAAAACTGATGCAAGTCGTGACTTCATTTTGATTGTAATCCTGCCTAAACGGCTCAGTTTCGTCATCGATATCATCACGTTTGCCCATGATGTGATTCTTTCCATCAAAGCCGTTTGTGACGATGTGTTCAGTTGTTTCTTCTCCTTCCTCCTGCGTTCTCCCCAAATCCTTCCCAAATCCCTCACTTCTCCTTCTTCCTTCCTTACAATCTTCACTCTTCCTTCTCTCCTCCTTTCCTCCGTCCTCGCTCCTCCTCCGGGACGACATGATGCTGTTGACCGTTTCCATCACCGTCCGTCCCGTCGCTGTTAGCATTGCTGAAACTTGTTGGCCTCTGCTTTCGCGAAACTGTCGATTTGCCGCCTTGATCCGCTCAAATGTGACCGCTTTTGCGTCTTTTTGAGCAACAAGATCATAGACCATGACATCGTCCTGAAACTCTGACTCCTCCACGTACGAACCATGCACCAGCCTGGTCGCAGTACGCCGCATTTCCTGGATGTACTGAGGAGGAAGCTGTGGAGGCGCAGGTGAAAAAGTGCCCCCGTCTGTTTCCACGCAGCCGTTCACTACGTTAAAGACGGCAGGCGAGGATGTTTCCTCGTCGCCAAAGATGTCGTCCCACTCCAGCTCCATGGCAGAGCTGATCCGTCCTGCCTGGTTGCTCGTGGAGATGGTGTCTGAGGAGGACAGTGTTGGGGAGAGAGCTGACAGGGGAGGAAATATAACCAACGAGCAGACCGAGTCCCTCTTCAGTCTTTCTATGAGCTCTTCTTCATCCTCCATGTCGTCCCCCGGCGTGTCCGAGCGACTCTCCTGAGGGGGGTTGATGCCATCGTAAGGAGCCGACCAGAACCGGCAAGCTCTGCAGACAAAACCACAGTGACCCTTTCAAAAGATGTTAGCACAGTTTAAACTATAGAGGTTATATATACACTCTTTTGTAACCTAAATTATTAAAATCAACATGAAATTCGTCAGGAATGTAACTGTGTCTGACCTACACTGCGCCAGCCAACGGTTTAAGGACATACCCCATATTTGAGGAGGGGGCTCCATCTGAAAAGTGAGAGTCTGGACATGCAAAAATGCTTATAACGCAAAAACTATTCAACATAGGAGCTTCAGACTGTTTTGTTGTTTCGTTCCGATCAAGGGCTATCCATTGGCCCCATCACTGAGCACCACCCACCCCATCTGGACCCCCACCCAAAACATTAAATCTGTTCTTGTGAGTTCTGGTGCATTGGTGCTTTGCGTACGTGCGGGGGTTGCATATGATACCATTATGCTGTATCTATTTTTTCCCCAGTGGTTTTTGGTCAACCGTATCACAGAAATGACTGCACCGATCAACATGTAATTTGGCAGGGCTGTAGACGTGTCTGACCTACACTGCACCAGCCAATGGTTTTACGATAGACCCCATATTTGAGCGAGGGGCTCCATCTTAAAAGAGGGTTTCTGGACAATCAAAAATGCTTATAACTCAAAAACTATTCAACATAGGAGCTTCAGATTTGTTTTTGTTTTTTTTTTTTTAGCTCTGATGATAGGCTATCCATCCGGCCCACCAATGAGCCCCCAACCCCCTGGACCCCGATCGCAAAACAATAAATAATTTCTGGTGAGTTCTGGTGCATTGGTGCTTTGCGTATATGTGGGGGTCATATATGCTATCACTATGCTGTATCTAGTTTGCACAGACTTTGTTTGCTAAAGAATCAGACAATGATTTCAGATTTCTGCAAAATAACGAAGTCGTAACCTAGTACTACTACTCATGTTTTAAAATAGAATACTGTGGTGAGATATATCGATGTACTGATTACAGCAAATGATGCCATGAGCAAATAAGTTGCAAGAAAACCCACAACCACCGCTTCTTTCACTGTTTCATCATGAACTCTCAGTTTATTCTGAGGTTAATGTAAGAAATGTTACTTTAAAACCATTTAACTGTTTTTAGTTTTATTATCACAGGCCTAATGAAGGGTGGAGTAGTGGAAGGCATCACCATGTTTCACGTTGAATAATTTCTTCTAAAACTCACAGATCAGCCTTTTACATTGGACGCAGTATTCAGCATCAATAATAAGTGAGACCCACAAACCTGTGTGAGGTGATGATGGCCTGGCGGGCGTCCAGGAGGTACTGGAAGTAGTTAACGTCCATGAGGAAGTCCAAACCCCGACAGTAACCAACGCTGTCTGATACTGACAGATCTGTCACACACAGTTAAAGTCAGTGTGTTTAATATAATGTTTTTATTGTGTTCTCATGAACTGACCTGCTCCTTTGGGCCAGTGGATGTGCTCTGAGTGTGTGCTTGTGTTGTGGAGGTAAACTGGGCACCAGGAGGGCATGAGGAGCAGGAAGGAGGCGGCGCTGGAGGAGTAACAGTCCCTCTGTTTTAAGGAGCGGCGTTGCTTCCTGCTCAGGTGGCTGCAGGGAATCAGATACCTGAGGAGACAAAAAAAAAAACAGATCAGCTCGTTACTGCCCCTGTGTGGCCAATGAGGGGAAAATACCCACTGCAACAAACTAAAAACCTGCTTTCATCGTCCAGTTATTAATTTTCTTTACTCCTTTTACTCACACCCATCAGACTGACCTGAACACCAGCTGCAACATGACGTCTTCACAGAAGAGACCGATAAGAGTCCTGAACAGAGCCAGGGATACCGTGCCCAGCTGCAAGGCAGGAAACAGGTCGAAGTTGATCATTTACGGAGCATCAAACAGTTATACCACTGAACGCGCTCTACCTGGAACGGTGTGTTGACCCGGCTGACCAGTGTGTCCAGGATGTGCACGCTGTCATGCCGGTGCATCAGGATGAAGGACAGGAAGGTGTGGAGGAGAGCGGGCTCAGAGACGGAGCGCAGGAACAGATCCAGGTAGGCGGTGGTGGTCATCACCTCCTCTACTGTCAGCTACGCACAAACACAAGAAACAAAATAACACATACAATAATACATAAAACATAACCAAAGAGCAGGCAGAGAAGACGTGTTTGTTCATTATATCCTCTGACAGCCACTCTGTTACCTTGTGCAGAGCAGGAGCGAGAACAGGAACCAGGAAGCCGTTGTAGATGTAACTCAGTAACTGGGAGCGGATGGAGGGATGAGCAACCTGAGATAAAAGAGTGAAAACAACCAAAACTCAACATGTTTACACCATTCTGATAGGCCACTACATTTTAAATACATATGAAGTGATGTTTGGTGCATAAACCTTTACGTTTACAGTTCTAAAAGGGTTTAGAGCAGTGGTTCCCAAAGTTGGGGTCGGGACCCAAAGTGGGGTCCTGAAACGATTTTCTGTATTAATTACACAAAAAAGGAGAACGAAAAATATGTATGCCTTTGTTGTTACAAAAGAGTAAGATTAGTGTATTCACATTGGACAAAAATAGCTTAATGAATATTGTTACTATGTCCTTGTTCATCTGACGTGAAAACAGTGTTTATTAAACAACAACAGCTGGGGTCTCAGGTCTCTGCTGCTGGTATTTTGTGGGTCAAAAGCTGAAAAGTTTGGGAACCACTGGTTTAGAGTTTGGGTGAGGCGCTCAGTTCGTTGTGTTTTACCTTTATAACGGCACCACAGAAGTCCAGAGAGTGCAGGAAATGGACGAGAGCTGGAACCTGTCGACGCCAGGTAAAAGTCATTAATGTTAGTTCAGTTAGGGTCTCGGTCAGTGAGTGGACCACCATGAAATCATCAGCCTCAGAGGAGCAGTAGATAAATTTGCACCTTAAATACTCAGGATGAAACAGAACACAATATTCATAGAGGGGCCAAGTATTTGTTTGGCATCTTTGCACACAAATCCTCAGTTTTGGTAAGGTGTATACATTTAACCACATGTTCAAACACTTGCAATTTTAAAAATCTTGCATGTAAATTCTCCTTAACAGTTTTATGTGCATTTTTACTGTACATAGATAAAATACTCTCAAACACACAACATGTAAGAGAATCCAGTCATTTGTTAGTTGAAAGACTTCCTGCAGGATTGTTAAAGAAGAGAAGCAGAGCTCGTCTAGCTTGATTCATGCTGGATTTTCCTGTTTGACTCTTTAGCACCTTTAGTGTTTGAACATGGAACTGCACCCAGCATCTTCACTTTTGAGCAAAGGACAGATGAATGACAGGACAATCAGATTTTAGAAGGGTCAATGCCCCTGTGGCCCCGCCCACTATGACAACACTGTTACCTGCTGCCAGTCCGCCAGCTCCAGACAGTGCCAGTCTTCACTGTAAACCTGCAGCTTGGCTGGAAGAGACGAGTACAGACCGGACAGACCTGTGGCCAGAACCTGGAAACACACATATATAAAAATAAGTACACATATATCAATATAAATATACAAACACATATATACAAATATAAACACACACACACACACATATATAAATAACTATAAATACACATGTATACAAATATAAATACACATAATATGTAAATATAAATACACATATATAAATGTGAATACACATACACAAATATAAATACACATATATATAAATAACATATACAAATATATATACACACATACATACAAATATAAATACACACACACACACATATATAAATAACTATAAATACACATGTATACAAATATAAATACACATAATATGTAAATATAAATACACATATATAAATGTGAATACACATACACAAATATAAATACACATATATATAAATAACATATACAAATATATATACACACATACATACAAATATAAATACACACACACACACATATAATATATATATATATATATATATATATATATATATATATATAATAACACATCGTGTAACCCCGGTTAGCTTCAGAAACTGGCTTCAAACAGATAAAGTGTCAGCCTTTATCTAATTAAATCAGTTCTAAAAAGTACAAAAAACAATTAATCAAAAGAAATTTGTTTCTATTTTGACATTTAAACTTTTTAAGTTTCATCCTGAGTAAAATCACTGTCAGTAATTTTGTAGTTCTGGAAGATTTCACCTTATTCTCACGTGAACTTACAGCTTCAGCTGCATCCAGATGTTCACATCCAATCATCAGAAACATGAATATTATAACAGCTTTATAACTTTAATTATTTTTAAAATAAAAACTAGGTGCTTTAGTTTGAATTTTTGGGAATTTTCTCTAGTTGTAGAAGCAGTTCTGTCTCCTAATTTTTATAACTCTGGGTTTATATTCTTTGTTTTCAAGATGGTTTATTTCCTCAACTAACAGAAGAGCAACTAGATTTAAATAAAATATATTTAATTTTGTTTATTTAAAAAGTGTAAAAAGAGATGGAAGGGCTGAATGAAGCAGGTCAACAGCTGCATTCTGAGGTCTCGTTAACGACCAGGCAGCCGTCCAATCACGTGCAGCCTTTGATAATCTCTGTGCACCGGCCAATCCCTCGCAGAGCTGCTAATCTGCTCTGGTCATAAAGATTGAGGTCAGAGTGGTCACATGGGATTAAAGCTGGAACACAGGTGGCACGTGTTGAACTGCCTTTGAGGCACATTTTTCAGCAAAACATCCGTTTTTTTAAAAAAAAAACATAAAAACAGAACCTGATTAATGAATCCAACATGGCCGACACTAAAACACCTGAAGAAAACAAGAAAAGTTTTGACTTTTAGTAACAATAAAGAGCTTTTTGTTCATTTTACAAGCATAGTTTCTGATTTCATCTTTTTTTTCAGGAAGTTTAATTTAATTATTTGGTTTAGTTGCTGATTTTAGTGTTTTTATTCAATATTTAAACGTTTCCCCTCCATATAATTGTTTTTTCTCATTAAGCTCCTCCTACTTTTCGTCATCAGCCCTAGATTACGCTGCAGACAAAAATGATTTCATTCCTGTGAGCAGCTCTCTGATTGATTAAAACCTGTTGAGAACTGTCCTGTGCTGCGTTGGGTTTACTCCTCCAGGTTTACAGGATGTTTGATGGTTTTTGTTCGGGGGTCTCACCGGACAGAAGTAGGTGTTGTCAGCGATGTGCTGAGCCACTCGAGGCTCGGAGGCCGACAGAGACATGATGAGCAGCAGAGCGTCCCGGGCCTGTTGGCCCACCAAACCCTGCCTGAGACAAGCACAAACATTTAATAAAAACTGGGCCGACAGCACCAAGCTGTTTGTTTGTTGTTTGTTTGTTTGTTTGTTTGTTTGTTTGTTTGTTTGTTTGTTTGTTTGTTTGTTTGTTTGTTTGTTTGTTTACCTGTGCGTGTACGGGATGAGCAGGGAGAAGAGCAGGAAGTTGGCGGCTCCCTGGTCCTGACTGGTGTGGAAGAACAGCTCCAGGACCGACGGATCCTTGACCAGAGCCACGCAGACCTGGTTCAGGAGCTGGACCAGCTCCGCCTCCACAACACCGCCGCCGTCTGCTGGACAGAACGTCAGCAGAGTAAACATCTTACCTGCAGCACATCCAACTGAAAAAAAAACCAAGCTGCTAAAGTTTCATTAGATGAGAAACGTTGTCTTCTCTGCAGGCTGCTGGGTTTGTTTGTGTCTAAATATGACGTGATTATAAAAAATAGAAATAGTTTATTTGTTTCGGCTGCAGCACATTTGTAGAGCAGCTGAGGATTTATAAAACTGTTTCAGGGTGGGGCTACACAAACCTGTTTGGTTTTTTATAAGTGAAACTGAACCTCAAATTTCTTTAACTTTTTCGTTGCTGATTTTGAACAATTCTCTTTTAAACGAGTATTTAAAGTTTCACAGTGGTCATAAGCAGAGACAAATAAAGAGTTTATTAAAAATAAAAGCATTTATCATCTAAAACACCATGAGAATAGACAAAAATAAAATAGTAAATGATGCTGAATGTTTTTTTACTATGATGAGACTGGATTTTTCTTTTTACTCAATTTGTACTTTTTAAAACTTCAATGAGCTTTGAACAAAAGACTTATTTTGAAAAAATACATTACTGTAGCTTTAAAAAAAAACAAGTCTTTCCAATAAAACAACAAAAAAGTATTTAGTTTCAGTATTTAGTTAGTTTAGCTTTTAGTTCATGTTTTACAAGTTTTAGCTTTAGGCTACTAATTTTAGGTTTTAGTTATGGATGTGCTAAAAGTAGATTTTAACTGTTGTTTTGCTACTTTAAGATTTTTTGCAGTTGTTTAGTAATTTAGCTTTGAGCTACTTCTTTTTTTACTAGTTTTAGCTTTAAGCTACTAATTTTAAATTTTAGTTACGGATGTGCTAATTTTATGTTTCAGCTGTTACTTTGCTGGTTTTTCACTTTTAACAACTGTTTTGCTTGTTTTAGAAATTAGCTAGTGGTTTGCTAGTTTCTATTTTTAGCTATTGTTTTGTTGAACTTTACTTTTAGTTAATGTTTTGCTAGTTCTAACTTTCAGATACAGTTTTGTTAATTTCAGCTTTTAGCTACTTGTTTGTTGTTTTTTGCTGTCAGATAGTTAGGTTAAAATGCCATGCCCAACAGGTAAGATACTAATTGTTCATCGGCTGTCCACAGAGTCCTGCTTTATAAGAGCTAGCATACCTGCCAGATCAAACACCTTCACATTCTCAATACAATAATGCAGTTTTGTTTTTGTTTTTTACTGATTTTGTACTTTTAAACTTCAATTCGCTTTGAATTAAAACCTTTTATTTTGAAAAGATATATTACTATAGCTTTAAAGAACAAAGTCCGTCCCAATAAAACAACAAAAAAATATTTTTTTCAACTGGCAAGTTAACTATTCAATTAAAACGCTCCTCTCCTGATTTACAAAACTAATCCATCAGGCAGATTAGGACTAATAAAGTTGAATAAAGTTGAATAAATCTGAATAAAGTAGAACAAAGTTAAATAAAGTTGAAAAAAGTTAAAGCTGAACAAAGTAGAATAAATCTGAATAAAGNTGAAAAAAGTTAAAGCTGAACAAAGTAGAATAAATCTGAATAAAGCTGAATAAAGTTGAATAAATCTGAATAAAGTAGAACAAAGTTAAATAAAGCTGAACAAAGTTAAAGCTGAATAAAGTAAAATAAAGCTGAACAAAGTTAAAGCTGAACAAAGTAGAATAAATCTGAATAAAGCTTAATAAATCTGAATACATCTGAATAAAGCTGAATAAAGTAGAATAAAGTCGAATGACATATAATAAAGCTGAATAAATCTGAATAAAGTAGAATAAAGCTTAATAAAGTAGAATAAAGTTGAATGACATATAATAAAGCTTAATAAAGTCGAATAAAGCTGAATAAAGTAGAATAAATCTGAATAAAGCTGAATAAAGTAGAATAAAGCTTAATAAAGTAGAATAAAGTTGAATGACATATAATAAAGCTGAATAAAGTAGAATAAAGTAGAATAAAGTTGAATAAAGTATAATAAAGCTGAATAAAGTAGAATAAAGTAGAATAAAGTAGAATAAAGTATAATTAAGTAGAATAATGTAGAATAAAGTTGAATAAAGTAGAATAAAGTTGAATGACAAAAGAAAGTTGAATAAAGTAGAATAAAGTAGAATAAAGCTGAATAAAGTAGAATAAAGCTGAATAAAGTAGAATAAAGCTGAATAAAGTAGAATAAAGTATAATAAAGTAGAATAAAGTATAATAAAGTAGAATAAAGTAGAATAAGGTTGAATGACATATAATAAAGCTGAATAAAGTTGAATAAAGTAGAATAAAGTAGATTAAAGTATAATTAAGTAGGATAATGTAGAATAAAGTAGAATAAAGCTGAATAAAGTAGAATAAAGTAGAATAAAGTTGAATGACATAAAAGAAAGCTGAATAAAGTAGAATAAGTTAGAATAAAGCTGAATAAAGTAGAATAAAGCTGAATAAAGTAGAATAAAGTAGAATAAAGTAGAATAAGGTTGAATGACATATAATAAAGCTGAATAAAGTAGAATAAAGTATAGTAAAGTAGAATAAAGTATAATAATGTAGAATAAAGTAGAATAAAGTTGAATGACATATAAAGCTGAATAATGTATAATAAAGTAGAATAATGTAGAATGAAGTAGAATAATGTATAATAAAGTAGAATAAAGTTGAATGACATATAATAAAGTAGAATAAAGTAGAATTGAGCTGAATAAAGTAGAATAAAGCTGAATAAAGTAGAATAAAGTTGAATAAAGTAGAATAAAGTAGAATAAAGTATAATAAACTAGAATAAAGTATAATAAAGTATAATAATGTAGAATAAAGTAGAATAAAGTAGAATGACATATAATAAAGTAGAATAAAGTATAATAAAGTAGAATAAAGTAGAATAAAGTTTAATGACATACAGTAATAAAGCTGAATATAGTAGAATTAAGCTGAATAAAGTAGAATAAAGTATAATAATCTATAATAAAGTAGAATAAAGTAGAATGAAGTCTGCTCACCGGCTGCAGCTCCAGCACACGAGGTGAGCAGCATCATGAGGGGCCGCAGGACGGGCTTGTGGTGCAGCAGGGGCTGTTTGGCCTGAGACAGGAGCATCTGGTACATCCTGAGCTGCTCCAGCTTCATGTCCTCGGTGAACTGCCTCCTCAGGCTCCACAGGAACAGCCTCTCCATCACGCCCTCCAGGACCACAAACTCCAGGATGGGCCCCATGGATCCACCTGGAGCCGGGTTAGGGTTGGTCAGGGACAGTCAGGGGGGTACGTTTACAAACCCAGCAGGACGAGGGTCTCCAGTTCTCACCTCGACCCGCCTCCTCCTCCATCAGCAGGAACAGCATGTGCTCCACGTAGTTCTGCACGGCGCTGGCCTCGTCTGCCGGGATCGGACCGAGCCGGACCGGGCCGGAGCCGCTGCTGCTGTGGTGACCCGAGAGGAAACTCAGAGCTCTGGAGGAGCTGCGGCCCGGCTCGTGTTTCTCCAGAATCTTCACCACCTTCAGAGAAAAACGTTTGAATTAAACCTTTCCACCATACAGATGTGGAGAGAACAACAGCTGGTTCCTCACCTGGACCCAGTGGTTCTTAAACACCATCATGCAGGTCTCCGGGTCCACCCCTCTCAGTGTGAGGGACTTCTTCCGGTTGCCCCCTACAACCACCGAGGCCATCATTTTGACTGGCTGTCAGGCAGCTAAAGCATGACCCGGCTCAGGGGGGCAGCTGGGGGTCTGTGGAGGAGGAGTTCAGCTGTGGGACATTTACAGACCTTAGAGAAGGAAGCTGGTGATTCTGGAGTAAATAAATCTCTCAGTGTGACTTTCTGCTTCTGGAACAGGAAGTGAGGGTCGTCAGCGGCAACAAACAAACAGGAAGAACTGACAGCGTGTCCGAGTCCCACCCTGGGCGTTCCAGGAAATTCCAGGAATTCCCACGGTGGACTCTGAGGCTTGACGGCGCTCCTACCTCTGTGCTGCTGCTGGGGGGGTCATGGAGGAGCTGAAGGCCTGGAGTCCTGGAGGAGCTGGAGGTCTGGAGTCCTGGAGGAGCTGAAGGTCTGGAGTCCTGGAGGAGCTGAAGGCCTGGAGGAGCTGAAGGTCTGGAGTCCTGGAGGAGCTGAAGGTCTGGAGTCCTGGAGGAGCTGAAGGCCTGGAGTCCTGAAGGAGCTGAAGGCCTGGAGTCCTCGAGGAACTGAAGGTCTGGAGTCCTCGAGGAGCTGAAGGTCTGGAGTCCTGGAGGAGCTGAAGGTCTGGAGTCCTGAAGGAGCTGAAGGTCTGGAGTCCTGAAGGAGCTGAAGGTCTGGAGTCCTGAAGGAGCTGAAGGTCTGGAGTCCTGGAGGAGCTGAAGATCTGGACAAACTGCAGATTCTTCACTTGTTTTGCAGCTTTGAAGCTCCTGACATTAAAGGAAAAGTTCAGATATTTTTAAACGTGGATTTCTAAAAAGAAAAGTCGTCACTGTTTGCTGCTGTTTTCTTGTAATTTCACTTTTTAGCTTCTGTTCTAATTATAGCTTTCAGATATTGTTCTGCTGGTGTTAGCTTTTATCTCCTGTTTGCTACTTTTAGCTTTTTGCAGTTGTTAATTCATTTTAGCTTTTAGCTAGTTTTAAGTTTTAACTTTAAGCTACTAATTTTATGTTTTAGCTTTTGATTTGCTGGGGGGTTTTTTCACTTCACTGTTTGCTTATTTTAGCATTTAGCTAAATGTTTTGCTTGTTTTAATCTTTGGCTATCATTTTTGCTGAACTTTGCTGTTGTTTTGTTAGTTTTAACCTTTACAGTTTTGTTGATTTCAGCTTTTAGCTACTTGTTTTGCTGTTAGATGCTGTTTAGCTGGTCCTAGTTTCCAGATTTAAAGTGCCATGTCCAACAGGTAAGATATTAATTGTTCATCAGTTGTTCACAGAACCCTGCTTTATAACTTTATAACTTCTTTAGCCTCTTTGCAGTGAATGTGGTGGTTTTCTGTGTGGAAAAACACAAACAGACACGGCTGCATTCCTGCCAAACACCTTCACATTCTGACGACAACAATGTCGACGACTCGGCTGCAGCTTTTTACTTTAGCAGCTATTTCAAAAATGTGCCGGCTGCACCTGTGACAGGCTCCACCTCAGATTATATCTCTCAAACAGGATGATGTAGAAACATGTCGGCCTCTTTCTAATCTTATTCACAGATTAAAATAAATAAATAAATAGATCTGTGATTGAGGTCAGGATGGTTCTGATGGGTCAGAACCTGTCCTCAGACAGAACAACCTGTGTTTCAGACGGGCTTACACAGAGGTAATCTGAGATGAGACAGTGATGTTTAATCCCAAACTGTGTGTTTGTGTCTGCGGCCATCAGACCGTCAGAGATTAAAATCTCAAACTCTGACCTGAAGTCTCCTCTGACCTGTTTTATCTCCCAAACTTTAAACTGTTTATTTGTTTTTAAATTTGTTTTCAGGGATGTTCTGGTTTGGATTTAAAGTCAGATTGATTATAATATTAAGAGAATAATCAGACATAATCCATTTCTAATACAGAAATGCACAATTTATTTAACTTTAACTCTTTTTTGTTAAATAAAACAATTGATTTGATTATTTGTCTTGTTTTATTTGTTTTAAAGACATCTTTAGTTTAATTTTTACACATTTTTAAACTTTATTTTCATCTTTTAAGAAAATATTTCTCTCATGTCAGTTATAACATGATAAATAACACATTATTACATCTCATAGTTCACAGCACAGTCTTTAGTTCTTACAACTAATCTGAGCCAAAGACAGGGAGTCAACACTTACCTTGAATGTCCTGTGGGAAAAGAAATAAAAAGAATAAATAAAAACATAAAAGAACCTCTCAGATCTCTGTAACGATCACACAGCGTGAATAAATCCTGAGGTTTGTTGTTTCAGAGCCAGCAGGTTGGTTTTAATCTGAGCTGGGTGGTTCCTGAGGCTTTGAGGGCTCAGACTGCGCTCTGAGGTAACCCATAAGCCCCGCCCACATGAAGCTCAGGCCACGCCCAGTTGGTCCGCCCCAAAACAAGTGAGACAGTATAAACAGCTTTTGTTTTGGTCTTTAAGCATGATTGTTCTTATTATTATTCTTTATATGTTATATTTAAAAATGTTGAAGCAGAGATAAAGAAACAAAAACTAATTTTCCATAATCTGTCAACTTTAATCCTTAAATTATGCAACGATTCTAAAGAAATGCATCAAGCCTTTGCAATGTTTAACATAATTACATGGAAATAATTGAATAAATTATAAAACAATAATAGTATTAATTATTTATTAGAACAATAAGATGTGGATTTTATTCATCTTTATTCATCATCAAAATTCAAAATGTGACCTCGTTAGGAGCACAATATCTGATATTTAAAATTTAGTTTGATATTATATCATTTTTTTCATTAATTAGTCTTTACTTACATAACTCAATGTTTTTGCATGAAGGTTGAAATAATGTCAGTAATAAATTCAGTGTTTGTTGCTTTAGTTTGTCTCTTTTATGATGCTTTGGTTTGTGTTATGATAAAAATAAATTATATTCTTATTATCTATATTAGAATTTTACACAAATAACTGTATGCCCTGATTTAAAGATTCAGATTAAAATGAGAAAACCTGTTGCGTCGCAAAGAAAAAAAGATTATTGTGTTGGTTAACACTGTCCTCTGCTGGCACAGAGCTGAAGCTACAACAGATGGAGACTGGTTAGATCAGGGCTCTGCAACATTTACAATCAAATGAGACATTTCTGCTCCTCAGCTCACTAATAAAATGTATCCAGAGCCGCAATACAAGCTACAACTGTGATTATCAACTGGTGGTCCGTGGGCCTTTTCAAGGCCTTTTCGTGAACCTTTATGGCCAGTATATGCAAAACCTAAAAATATATTGTGAACTTTATTATTTATTATTTTTACACTTCAGGACTGAATTAAAAAAACATTTGGCACAAGAAAAATACTGGTTATAGTTTATACAGGATTTCATAAAAACTAGTACAGCTGAATTAATCAGACACTTTTTCCCTAATTCTTATTATTATGTGATCCTAAAGGTGATTAAAGATAACCCTGATGGATTTGAGAGAAAAATCTTAGAAAGAAGTTGGATTATTTAGACAGACAACAGGCCAGCATGAGCTAACATGTTTTACTTTTTATATTAGTAGTCTTGATTATATATCTGCATAAAATTTATTAATGTTGTGAGAATAAAAAAACAAAACAAACAGAGCCACATGTGGCCCCAGAGGGGTGCAATTTCACCTTTTATATTGATGAGTCGGGATTTCTGAGCATTGTTTTTTCACTGCATGGACATGTGGTAAATGACCTGAATATTTAACATATTTATATGTTTATTTACCTGCTTGTGTTCATAAAATCAGGCACAAGTGGAGCTGTGTTTGTGGTCTAAATTTACAAACTCTTCTTCATTTCACTGATACAGAATATGTTGTTAACCTTTGACTTTTCCGTAAAGGAAGTTCCTGACTTTTAGAATAATAGACACAGTGTGAGTTTTATGAGTTAAAATTTAAATAGGAAGTAAAGCTGATATATACAGCAGGTAAAATAAGTATTGAACACGTCACCATTTTTCTCAGTAAATATATTACTAGAGGTGCTAATGACATGAAATTTTCACCAGATGTTGGTAACAACCCAAGTGATCCATACATACAAAGAAATCAAACCATAAATGTCCAGAAATGAAGTTATTTGTAATAATGTGGAATGGCACAGGGAAAAAGTATTGAACACATGAAGAAAGGGAGGTGTAAAAAGGCATGGAAAGCCAAGACACCAGCTGAACTCTCTCAGTAATTAGAAAACAAGCCTGCCCCTTGTCAGTGCAAGTTAATATCAGCTGGTTCAGTCCCAAATGATGGCCAGGTATCACACAAGAACCATCTGATGATGGGTAAAAGTAAAGAGCTCTCTCAAGACCTTCACAACCTTATTGTTGCAAAGCATAATGATGGCATCGGTTACAGAAGAATGTCTAAACTTCTGAAGGTTCCAGTGAGCACTGTTGGGGCCATAATTCAGAAGTGGAAAGAACATTATTTCACCATAAACCGACCACGACCAGGTGCTCCTCACAAGATTTCTGACAGAGGAGTGACAAGAATTATCAGAAGAGTTGTCCAAGAGCCAAGGACCACTTGTGGAGAGCTTCAGAAAGACCTGGAATTAGCAGGTACGTTTGTTTCAAAGAAAACAATAAGTAATGCACTGAACCACCATGGCCTGTATGCACGCTCACCACGCAAGACTCCACTGCTGAAGAAACAGCATGTTGAAGCTCCTTTAAAGTTTGCTGCACAACATTTAAACAAGCCTGTGTAATACTGGGAGAATATAGTCTGGTCAGATGAGACCAACATTGAACTGTTTGGATGCCAGAATACACATCATGTTTGGAGGTCAAATGGCACTGCACATCAGCCCAAAAACACCATACCAACAGTGAAGTTTGGAGGTGGGAACATCATGGTGTGGGGCTGTTTTTCAGCATATGGTACTGGCAAACTTCAAATAATTGAAGGAAGGATGAGTGGAAAAATGTACAGAGACATTCTTGATAAAAATCTGCTTCCATCTACCAGGATGATGAAGATGAAACGTGGCTGGACATTTCAGCAAGACAATGAGCCCAAACACAAAGCCAAGGAAACTCTCAGTTGGTTTCAGAGAAAGAAACTAAAGCTGCTGGAATGGCCCAGCCAATCACCTGACCTGAATCCAACAGAAAATCTATGGAAAGAACTAAAGATCAGAGTTCATAGAAGAGGTCCACGAAACCTTCAAGATTTGAAGACTGTTTGTGGAAGAATGGGCCAAAATCACACCTGAGCAATGCATGCCACTAGTTTCTCCATACAGGAGGCGTCTTGAAGCTGTCATTGACAACAAAGACTTTTGTACAAAGTATTAGATAAATTTCAGAAAGTGTGTTCAATACTTTTTCCCTGTGCCATTCTACATTATTACAAATAACTTCATTTCTGGACATTTATGGTTTGATTTCTTTGTATGTATGGATCACTTGGGTTGTTACCGACATCTGGTGAAAATTTCATGTCATTAGCACCTCTAGTAATATATTTACTGAGAAAAATGTTGACGTGTTCAATACTTATTTTACCTGCTGTAGATTACAGTTCTCATGGGATTTTGAAGAAAATACATTTCAAATTATCATTGAAAAGCTTTAATAATTTACATTTTCTAATAATTATAATTTACTTGACTGTTCATTGAGTTTTAGCTTCATTATTTATGTTTATTTAGGTGTTTTGTTTAAATTAAATAGGCTTATTTAGCTCCATAGTTTATCCTGTGTTGGTGACGTCACGGGGCCGGAGCTCGGCTCGGCTCGGCTCGCGACCGGAGGACGCTCGGAGAAAACCGTCCGAGCCGAAACCGAAAACTGCGCGTTCTAATCGACTTATAAGTGGTTTTTAAACATTTTCCGGGCCGGACGGCTTTGTGGGTACGGAGCCCGGAGGCTGACCTGACTCCGGAAGTGGTTTCGAGCCCTGAAAGTTGTCGGTGGTTCGCGGTGAACTCGTCCCGGTTGTTGTTGGCTGTTAGCCCCGGAGCGGAGGAGGAGGAAAACGGGAGGAATCATGTCCTGACTCCGCTCCTTCTCCAGACACACAGGAGGTGAGCAGCAAGTTTTAGGAGATAAAAAGTTGATTTAAAGAAATGGCAGAAGCTCGGGCTGAAGAGGAGGAGGACGGCCTGAGGAGGAGAGACGGTGGTCGGGATGAAGTGGTCCGACGGCAGCCGAACAGCTCCGGAGGTAAAACAACATTTAAACACCTGCTCTTCCTCTTTATACTGTTTTCTGATGGGAAAATGACCTGCCACAAACAGGTTAGACTTTTAATACTCAGGAAATCAACTTTAAACTGCCTCAGCATCATAATCCTGTCGATAAAAATGAAACATTACAGTTAATCTGTGTTTATATGTGTTTAAAGTTATAATAATTGCCTGTAAACTCTGTGGTATTTGGAGTTTTACTGTGAAATTTCCCACTGGTTTGATAAAACCACCTCTGCTCCTTTATCCTATTAAATCAAACAAACCACAAAACAACCCTGAAGCTTTTTAAGTGTTTTATTTTTAAACTCTTGACATTTGTTGGCAGTTTTACACGTTGGAGCAAAGAAACATCTGAATTATGTGAACCTGTGTTGTTAAATTCATGTTTCCTCCCTGAAATAAGGAACCAAACAAACTGTTTGAAATTCAATGACTTAATGGATGCAAAAATCATTTATTTGAGTTTATTTACTTTTGATTTGTAATATTTTCAGCTGAACTCGCATTGATTTTGCATAACATCTTTCAATTTAGTCAAATAAAAATCTTGTTTTCTGGTGAATGTCAGAGAATAACACTTAAATCATGTGAACTAATGATGTGACTAACAAGCTAGAATAATAATTTTAGCCACAGGTTTGCATTAGTTGGATAATTAAACTAGTAAAACTGGTTATTATGTTGTTTTTTATCAAATTTGTGGCATCAGAAGAGTATTTTGCAGCTTTAGGATAAATATCAGCCACAAAATGCAAACAGGAAGTGTTCAAATCAAAGTAGTCTTTGTATAATAAGAAAAAAAAACATCCTTTTTTACTTCTAGAAATCTGAAGTGAACAACTGAACAGATTTCATCATGTCGTTATGTATTAAACTAAAACAAAAGCCTGCATCCTGTCGAGCTTCTTCCACAGGATTAAAAGGGAAAGTCTCAGCCAGGTGCTGCTGGTTAAATGTATTTAATGATGGTTTTGCTGTTCCTCATGGAAATGTTGGGCACTTAAATCACAAGCAGGAACCACAAATCTTTTATAAAAGTTAAAGTTAGAGTATATTTAAGTAAAAAGCTTACATTTGGCACACAGGGCCTGACAGATAAGGTCTGAGTTAAAGCAAACCATGTGGTTTTAATGTGGGTGTAGACTCCTTAAACCCAAAGTCATAAATCCTTAAACCAACAAGAGAGATCACGGCTCGGGTCAAAGTTTACACACACACACACACACACACACACACACACACACACACACACACACACTAACAATGGGTCATTTATGTTTCTGCACCCCACATTTGGACTTGGCAGGCGGGGGGACGGCTGTGTTGTTTCAGCGACCTGCAGAGAGAAATTACGAGCTCCTGATTTATACGACAGGAAACACACCTATTTTCCCTCGCAGCAAACAGCCGAAGGAGCGTTATATCATGCAGAAAAAAGGCTAATATTTATATTTACAGTTGCTAACATCTATCTGACCTTTATTTAAACTGAGAAAGAAAAAAGTTAACCAATCCAGGAAACTTTAGCTGCTTTAGAGCTGATTGCAAAGTTAACTACAGCTAAAAGCTAGATGCATCAAAAGAGTTAGCAAAAAGTTAGTCGAAAAATTATTAAAAATTATACATTGAAGCTAAACATAAACAAAATACTAACTAGAAGCAGYAAAAGGTTGGCTGAAGCTAAAYGTAGCATAAGGCTAGCTGTAGCTAAAACCTAAAATTAAACTAGCTAAAGGTCAGCTTGAAACTTGTAGCATCAGAATAGCTGCTAAAAAAAGGCTGACTAAGAGTACTAAATACCAAGCTCAAAATAGCAAACAGCTAAAAGCAGCAGAATGCTAGCTAAAAGTATGAAAAGGCTGTCTATAAGCTAAAAGTAGCTAATTCTAGCTAAAGTTATCAAAAGCTTAGCTAAAAGTAGTAAAAACCAAGCTCAAAGTAGCTAAAGGTTATCAAAGAGCTGAACACATCAGAAGTAGCTAAAAGTCAAAGATATTAAAAGGTGGGCAAGAAACTAATAGTAGCAAAGGCTAGCTAAAAATATCAAAAGCTTAGCTAAAATAAGTCAAAACATAGTACCATCACACAAAATATCAAAAGGTTGACTAGAAGCTAAAAGTACCAAAGGTTAGCTAAACTTATCAAAAGTCTTGCTAAAAATAGTAAAATGCAAGCTAAAAGCAACAAAATTATCAAAATGCTAAAAACTTCAGCTAAAACTTAAAATTATTAGCTAGAAGCTAAATGTAGCAACGGTTAGCTAAACATCAAATGTTTAGCTAAAAGCTAAAAGCGGCAAATCAGTAGCTAAAAACTAAAAGTAGGAACAGGTTAGCAAAAAGCTTGAATTAGCAGAACATAAAAGTAGCAGCTAAAATCTAAAAGACTAACTCAAAGCTAAATGTAGCAAAAGGCTTCCTAAAAAAATTCAAAAGGTAAGCTAAAAGGCAGCAGAATGAGAACTAAGGCTGAAATGTTTCAAAGGCTAGCAAAAAGCTAAAAGTAGCTAAAGGTTAAATGGCAAATGTACCAAAAGGCTTGTTAAATGTTAAAACAGTAAAAGCATAGTTTAAAACTAAAAGTTAGAAGCAGAGTTTAAAGAAAACTATGTTTTTAAAATAATTTAAAAGAACTAAATGTCAATTTTGTGTGTCTGGTGGGCGCGGGTATCTTTGTTAGAAATGAAAGAATATAGGGTCCTCTGAATGAAGGTGTGTGTGTGTGTGTGTGTGTGTGTGTGTGTGTGTGTGTGTGTGTGCATGCTCTAGGCTTTGTTATGTATGCGTCCTTGCCTTTTGAATAAATTCCTGTCACCCATTCAGTTCAGATGTGTGTGTGTGTGTGTGTGTGTGTGTGTGTGTGTGTGTGTGTGTGTGTGTGTGTGTGTGTGT